ATTTCTACAATATTTTTTTAACCTTCAGAGCATAGTAAGTGTCGATTTGAATAATTGTTCTTCCGACGTCTGATTTCTCTTTAATTATAGGAAATGCGTTTTTCTAAGATACATTTTGGGATTGATTGTATAGTCAATACATCCTTAAGATTAAACAAGTAGAAAGATTTGAAAAATGATGGTACTAACCGGTTTGTTGCAAGTTCAATAAATACACATCGTTGCTCGGTAAAGTGAGATTAACTTCGCTGTCCTTTAGCCAATACTGTACTTTTATTTCATTGAAATTTGCATCTTCGAGTTTCGTCCAGGTGATCGGGATGTACCAAAGTTCTTTGGAAGACATTTGATCTGATCTCAAGAAGAATCTTCGTTGCTGTAGAGTTAAATTAGGTTGATGTCTAGTCACATCGACCACGGGATAGCCAGCCTGTGTTGTCCAACTGTTCATAATAGCGTGAATCGAATCTTTCAGCCCCGCGTCTGCTACTTTTTGCAAAGCATTGAACAAATCTTCAGGTGTAGCTGCATCGTATTCTCTAGAATGATAATACAATAATCAATTTATTAATTGTTATACACAAGTCTTATTAATTGATTAAAAACTTTTATATAGAAGAAAACACTTATAGTATCAGGTTGAAAAACATGTTTTACATAAACATTTAAATTTCGAAACATACATTCGACTTTTGATATTCTTAATTATTTTATTATATTACGCATGACATTAATTTCTGTAAATTCAGTTTTCTTATGAAGTTAATGTGAGTTCGATCTTGTTTATACAAGGTGGAGCAATAATTTTGTCCACTGTGAGTGTTACTGAAACTGGATGTTATCGTAAAAAATATTTTAATGTAAGGTAGAACCACTAAACAACACTTTCGAATTAAAACATACTAATTTCCAACATTTTCATAATAATTTATTCATCTACATTCTATATCAACATAAAACTTGAATAATGTAACTGTACATATGTATAGGAATAACTCTTTCCAAACTGTTATTATTATATAAAGTGAACAAATTACAATTATTTTACATTCATTTTGTATTGTATTCACATGGATAAATATAAAAAAAGACTGTAATCTTTAAAAAAATAATTTCATATGTTAGGTAATGAGATTTTTTAAACAATTTTAGTAGTTTGTCATTAACTTTAGTATTTACTTTCAGAATATTAAAAATGATGTAATTTTTGTTAAAAAATGTTTTCTACCTGACAACGTTTTTGAAATACAATAAAATTGCGTTTTGCGAAAAATGCGAACATTTCGGATTTGAATTTTCTATCTTAACGTAGAGGAGCCACGATTCTTATCTTGGATTTTTATGTAGAACAGGACAGCGAACGAGAAAAGAGAGGAAATTGGATCAGTCGAAGTAGTCGCTGAAGATTGTTCAGAGTAACTGTATTAAGTAATTTGAATCTCACCGATTTTTTAGATAGTTTCCAAGAGCCGTGTAGAATTTATCACGTCCTAATATTTTCCCTATCATTCTGATCACGCTGCCGGCTTTACCGTATGATATCGTATCGAATATTCCTCTGATCTCTGTCGGGCTATAGACATCGTGAGTCATGGGGTGGCTATTCCTTCCGCTGTCCGCTTCAAAGGCCGAGTGAACTTGCTCCACGACGAATTGAGACTCCAGGGACCAATCGTTTCTTATCTGTAATGTTCCATCATTATAATCTTCGTGCATGGAATGAAACATTTAAACGATTAAAAAAATTCATTAATAAAACAATTGTACACACACACCCACACACGCTTGCATATATACATACATACATACATACATACATATATACTATTATACATGTATATGGTATACACTTAAGTGGACGATTCGAGAAACTATATCCTCGATCCACTTTGTAGACGACGAAAAATGGTCTTTTTTATGCCATTTTTTTATAAAAAATACGGTGAACAACACGGGCCGAATGAGCTTTTCCAGATTTGTATGAGGATTTGAGCACCTCGTGTTCGTCTCGGGCGCCTGTTGCGCTCTCGATTGCCACTCGTGTTCAAACATCAACCTCGCTTAGAAAAGCCCATTTTCGGTTTTTGGTGACAATATATTATTTTGAACTTACACTGTCCGTTCCAAAGTATTGGAAGTACCTCGCAAAGCCTTCGTTCAGCCACAGATACTTCCACCAGAGAGGACTGACGAGATCTCCGAACCACTGATGCGCGATCTCGTGCGATATCACGTTGATTATGCTCTGTTCCGAGGCAGTGGTCGAGAGTCCGGAGTTAAAGAGCACGTTTCTTTCTTTGTACGTCAACAAGCCCCAATTCTCCATCGCGCCTGACACGAAATCAGGCAACGCGACCATGTCCAGCTTAGGTAATTGGTACTTGATGCCGGTTATATTCTCATAGAAATTCACGAGAGGTTTCATAACAGATAGAGCATATTTAGCATTTTCGATCGCGTTTGCCCTTGCCCAAACCCCGTAGATCTCATTCGGAGAATTCTCAGATTGTTTTTCGAATTCGGAGACCACGAGAACGACTAGGTATGAAGACATCTTCGGTGTTTGTTGAAAAATGTACTTTACTTTTTCATTCCTGCAAAACGAATTGTAATATACATACTATACGTTTACTATACAGTCTCAATTTCCATTTGCATTACAACTTCTACTTACTGTCTTTGTTGTTATCTAACATTTATATACAATCTTTGTCAAAAGTTTAAGAAATGTGATAAAAAGCTATCTTTAACATTTGAAGCGATAAACTTTAAGAAAAAATAAAATTTATGAAAGGGTAAGGTTTAGAAAATAATTCGACGGGTTTTTTTAAGTCAAAAGCAATTCTTAAAGTATAATTTCTAACATTCTGATATATTGCTTTGTTCATTAATGTTTCTTAAATCAGTGATATCAACTTTCAATCATTAATTGTCATATCTCCTAATTAAAAAGTAAAAATTCATTTGTAATCGAAGCATATCTAATTACAAATAATTTTCATATTTTAATTCATGCTCCTATGAGTCTAAATTAACTCTTACTTTCAGTTTCTTTAATCTGTTAATCGATTTTGCTATTTTTTAAAGCAGGGAGAGCTTACTTAACGATTGAATATTAATCGTAAGTTCAAGAAAAGTTTAATCAAAACTGGGATTTCAATCCTTAATTTGACAGGTTCAAATTAAAAATTAAATTTCTATTATTAATTAACAGAAATCTCAATTAACGATGAAATTTTAATTGTTGGTTCAATAAAGACTGAATCATAAATGCAATTTCAATTCTTAAATAGACAATTTTTAATTATATTTAATTATATAAATTGAATTTTTAATTTTCAGTAAAGTACTCGTCGATTTACAATTAGACTGCAACTATTAATTAAAAAGTACACCACTTATCAATTATAAGTTGCTGATGCGATAATTAAAGAAACTGCAATCTTTATCTTAATTGAAGTTGATCAATTAAAGTATCAATGTCAATTGCAGTCTTACACAGAAGTACAGAGTACTATTATTAAATTCCGGTCGCTATACATATGTATATTTGCAGAAAATTTGAATATGCAATTTGCATAGTAGCTTAGGACATATTATACGTATATTGCAATATGTATATCATCAAAAACTTGCAATACAGAGTAATCTACTTAAATATAGGTAACTAAATTGTCTCTCCTTTATTTACAATAATAGGAAAAATATTTAGATATGTAATAAACTATGTAAATGGTATCAGAACGACGCTTTGCATGAGCTTCTTCTTTTTCAACATAATCTAGTTCTAAATTTTTAACGTCACTAATATTTTTTG